GATTACCAAGTTGAAAAGGGCAACCAAGTTATATAATTCTTACCATTATAGGAGCAAACATTTCTTAACGTTAAGTTCTAAAACAAATTTCCCACCTGGGGCTTTATGTAAAGGGCATTGAGCAACAGGGTGAATATTATACCGCATACCACTTCTCCAGCAAATGATGTAATTTTTTAAGTTTCTTATGAAACCCACACAATGACATTAAAACCCAGCTCAGCGATGTCAAGTCTGCTTGTAGCCAAGATCGTATGTTCTATATATGTGGTCTTCTGTTGTTTTCCTGCCTTGACTCCAAGGGTAGAGTTCCTGGCCCTCATGTAGTCTTCTTTATGTAAGGGTCACTTCCTGCTGGCCTTCTTATGGATTGGTAGAGCAGGCTGATTGAGACTAGGTTGTTATACTAGTGCCTAAACTGCCATTTGCCAGGTGGCTGGTTGAAGTAAGTGCATAAGCTATGGAAACTAAATAAGAGTTGGTATGAACATCATCATTTGGGGAATATTGAGGTGGCTAACTAGGGTAGATTCCCTAGATAGGGCATCTGTGCAACAAATTAGAACACATTGATTGGTTTATATTTCCTAATAAGATTTTAATTTACTGCCAAGGATGTGCTAGAGCAGACATACTTGTATACTGCGGGTAGAGTATTTATTGATACAGACTTTTTGGAAGTAGTTTCAAGGCATTTTAATAAATCACAATATTGGTTTAAAAGTATTATACCATTTGACCTAGTAGTTCTACTTCTGGAAACTGTCTTATTTAAAGGAAATTAACCTTTTTTTAAAAAAGTCAATGCCTCAAAAAAAGTGTTACTTGTAATATTTCATTTCTTCATTTATAATAAGTGTAAAAAATGGAAAAATTTCTAGATCTTACAGAAGGAGAATAGATAAACAAATGTATTCCAGTCAAAGAAATATTATGACTCATTAAAATATTTTGAAGTATATGTTGTAAGTAGAAAATTTCTTAAAATGTTAAATGAGAAACAAATGATAGAGTGTAAACAATAGAAGTTGAACTTTATTTAAACATCTATTTAGAAGAAAAAACTGGTTGGAAATATATCAAAAGAGTAGATCTTTGTTTTTGGATACTTATTTTTAAGAGAAACAATCTGACAATTTTTAGCACTATAAATCTTAATATTCCCTAGAAAAGAGAGCTTTATAGTAGAGAAAGGGTAATTAACCTGTGCTCAACTAAATTGCCATAGTCATCTCCCAGAACTCCCAAATCCCTCTTGTTTGAAGTCATGCATTCTGATTTTGATGCCAGGAAAAAACTATCACTAGATGAGAGTCTCTAAAATCCTAATCATTCAGCTATTGTAAAGGCTGGGCCTCTATTATAAGTGAATAAACCAACATTTTGGTTTATAAACTAGTCTTCAATGGATTTGATTAGTATGAGTCAGTCTTTTAAGAGCCTGTTTCTTGCTCATGATTGGAATAAGATTAAGTTTTGAACTCAGAAATCTGAGGTCCAGATCCTGAACATGTTGATTCCCATCAAAATGCAGCAGCAACCTTGGAGCATTGCTCAAACCATTAGCAGTCTAACTAGCCCATTATTTTTGTGGCGAATGAAGAGAGAGGAAAAGTATATGTGCTGAGTAGATCTTTGGATTTTAAAAAAGGAGCTAGAAATGGTGGTTAATAAGCAGCAAATGCTTAACTCATTTAGGAGAGCTTCCAATTATCTCTTAGTTTTTCTTATTTGAAATGTGACCTCCCTAACGTAATTAATGTAATGTTTCACTTAGCTTCTTTAGTAGTATTACGAATTATATCACCAGGCTTTATACTTTATTCATACATTTATCTTTTTACTAACAGCTTTATTCATACATTATTTCTAATGTTCTGTTAGAACCTATGTGGACGTACCACCTTTTATTTATTCATCTGTTAATGGACATGCTGATTGTTCCCACTTTGGAGCTAATATGAATACCTCTGTGAACATTCATGTGCAAGTTTTTGTGTGGGCATATGTTTTCATTTATATTAAGACTATATACACCTGCATCATAAAATTTGATTTTGTATTTAACATTTTAAGGCACTGCCAGACTTTTCCAGTGTAGCTCCATCATTTTCTAATACCATCAACTGTGTATGAGTGTCCTCTACATGCTCACCAACACTTGTTATTTTGTCTTTTAGATTATAATCATCCTAGTATGTGTGAAGTATATCTGTTTATGATTTTGATTTGCATTTCTCTGACAGCTAACGTTGAGCATCTTTTCATATGCTTTTCAGTCATTTGCATATTTTCTTTGGAAAAACATCTATTTAAGTGCTTTGCCCACTTTTTAATTTGGGTGTCTTCTATTGAATTATAAGAGTTATTTATATATTTTGGATATTAAGTCCTTTATTGCATATGACTTGCAAATATTTTCTCCTATCTGTGAGTTATCTTTTCACTTTCTTAATAGTGTCCTTTGAAGCACATAAGTTTTTAATTTTGATGAAGGCCATTTTACTTTTTCTTGTGCTTTTAGGGTCATACGTAATAAACTATTGCCTAATCCTTGCCAACAAAGATTTACATCTGTGGGGTTGTTTTTTGGTTTTTTTTTTTTTTTTTTTTTTAGTTTTATGGTTTCAACTCTTACATTTACATCTTGATTCATTTTGAGTTAATTTTTGTACCTGATATAAGGAAGTGTTCCAACTCCAGTCTCTTATATGTGGCTATTCAATTGTCTCAGGACCATTTATTGAAAATCAAGTGACTGTAAATGTGAAGGCTGATTTCTGGAATCCCACTTCTATTCCATTCATATAAATGTCCCAGACATTTCTATTTTTTCTTTCATTCATTCTACAGATATTTATTGAGCATCTTTATATGCCATGCATCATGCTCAGTGTGTCCTTACTTGCTTTGAGAAACCAAACCATTCCTCTTTGAAGCCCAACTCTTTAAGAAACTCATGCTAATAAAATATAGGATCTTTTTTTCTTAATGAGATATAAAGTGAATACCTTTCATAGCCAAACCAATGGAGGCAATTTTAGTTTTTTCTGATTTGTACACAGTCTTTTGGCAAGTTTTAGTTTGTCAAACTACATAAATGTTCAGAAGTTTGAGTGCATTTTAGAGGGCTTGGGAGAATGAAAATTGTTCTGGGATAGTCCAGTGAGTATTTTGAAGATGAGGTTATTTTAAGTGGGGTGAGGATTTAGAAATCGTGGTAAGGGCCTCCTGACAGGTGTGGAGTAGCCCATGTGCAACTTGAGAGGTCTAGGGAGTTAGTAAGTGTAGTTGCTGGCAGCAGTAAGGCCAGAGACAAAAATGAAAGAGATGAGGAGGAAGGAGGCTCTACAGAATTAAATAATAATAGTTCTGCTTTTAGACCTTATCTGAGTAATTGTAATTCCCTGCTACCAAAGTATGATGAAATGATGTTTACAGGTGATGGCTTATTGCTAAGTTTAAGATAAGTTAAAGGAGTCATTAATTTCATGTAATAGTGGTAACTTGTTTCTAGGTAGATATTGTGGTTGTAGAAATTGAAGGGAGAGGCCAAAGATATGTAAGCTTAGCAGAACTTACTGATTATCTAAAATAATTAAAGTTGATATCCAGTGTTATAATTTGAGGGCATTGGGAAGATAATTATACCAAAGTTTACTATGTTAAACAAAGAAAAAAAGAAACAGTTTATCAGGATAAATATTAATTTTGCTCTACTTGTTGGCAAAATCTTCAATTGGATTATAAAAGATACCAATTTAACCTGATAGTATATCAAGTCTGATTCTCAGGACTTGCTTATTCATCTTTGAAACCCTTATTGTAAAATGAACTTTCAGTGTCTAGTTTTAAAAGTTAAGCAGCAGTTTTGTTTTTCTGTGTGCATAGTAAGTATAAAACATATTGTACTTGGTCAGTGATTTTGAAAGGCTTAAGAAGGGTAACAGATTGCATGGTTTGCTACCACCATTAATAATATTATTGTTCTTTTTTTGGCATTTGGGTTATTTCCAAGTCTTTCCCATTATAAATAGTGCTGCAATAAACATAGGGGTACAGATATCCTTTTGAATTAAAGTTTTTTAGTCCTTTGGGTAGATCCTTAGGCGTGGAATTGCTGGGTCATATGGTTGTTCCATATTTAGTCGTTTGAGGAGCCTCCACACAGCTTTCCATAGTGAGAATTCCTTTCTCACCAAATCCTCGCCAACATTTGTTGTTGCTAGTTTTTTTAATATGTGCCATTCTTACTGGTGTAAGGTGGTATCTCACTGTCAAAAAGATGTAGTACATATACATAATGGAATACTATTCAGCAATCAAAAAAGATAAACAAATGTCATTTGTAGCAACGTGGATGGAGCTAGAAGGGTTTATGCTCAGTGAAATAAGTCAGAAGGAAAAAGAAAAATATTGGATGGTTTCACATATAGGAGGAATATAGGGGAACCAAATAAAGGATCAGGGAAAAATAATAACAATTATAAATAAAACAAAACAAAAATAAACAGACAACTATAAATCAGAGACATTTTGCAGGAGAGGGGGAGCCTGAGATACTGAGATGGGGGCAGGAGGAGCACAAGGGACTATGGTGAGGGAGCACGGGTGAATTGCTGGTAGAAATTCTATGGGGACTACACCTAAGAAAAGAAAGCAAACACTGTAAGAAAAAAAAAAAAAAGAATGAACAATGATGTAAAATTAAAAAAATAATAATGTTCTTCGGAAGGAAAAGTTTTTAATATTGACAACATTGAGAGACATAGTCTATATCACTATAGATAATATATAGACAATATATAATATATGATAGACTATATATATATATAGAGAGAGAGAGAGAGAGAGGGAGAGAGAGACAGTATTATAGATAAGTTTTAGTTACTCAAGTTGATTTTGGCTCTAAACACTAAAATTTGAATGTTTTAGAAATTTTATTACATGTCAAAACTTAGTATAGTGCATTTATTTACCAATTCTAAATTTTCTTTCAGGAATTGTTCCATCTTCTGTTGTCCTGACTTCTTTCCAGGTGATGTCAAGAGTTTTTCTAATATGGGCAGTAACACATAGCGTCAAAGAGGTAAGCACTTACCTAGACTAAAAATAATATCAGCATTAACAAATGCTAGTCAGTTTTTCTTATATGTGTGTTAAGGCTAAAGAGAGAACTCCAGTTCATATTACTATAGACAGATAAAGCTCACATGCACTATAGGAATTGAGTTACTAGTGGAAAACATACGCTAAATATGCGGTGTTATAAATAGAAGACTGATTCTGCAATCTAGTCCTATAATCTTAGTTGGGGATTCGGATGGTATAGATATTGTCTGCAACTCACTTCTACTTTCCTGGTAACTTATTTGCATCTAGCACAGTAAACTCTGGACATGTGCATCTTTGTAGTGTGACTTCTAAGGAAGTGGAGCTATTGATTCATTCCCAGAGCAGTCAAATCATTATAGGACCAGGAAAATAAAGGATTAATGGGCTTGCCAATTGTACTGAGTCTAGTGGTTTTGGGAAATGAGGCTAAGGGCCTCGGATGGTAGATAGCATTGCAGGTCCTGGGATACTCACTATAAGAACTGGGGGAGAAAGGTATCTTTACCACAGGCCCGAGTCTAAGGCTATCAATTGTTTCTGGCTGATGTCACCTTGAAGTAGAGTACCTATATCTACAGGAAGATTCTTTTTTCAGTTTTTTTTTTCCCAATAACTTATTGTCAACATTGTTGGATGCTTTGGGACTTGTGAAATGTGCTTATACATTAGCATTATTCTGGTGTTTTCTTTGTCTTCTGTTCTTCTAAAATCCCTGTCAAAACATTTTGTTTTTCAGGATTTATTTTGACAGTTTCATTTGTATTTCAACTAATGAGGTTTTTTGTTTTTTTTTTTTAAAGATTTATTTATTCATGCATACAAGAGCTGGGGTACAGGCCAGAAGTTTGGAGGGTGAGAGGATTCACCAGAGACAGAGTGGGGAACAGAACAGGCAGACTGACTGAAACACACTGCTAAGGGGAACAGCGGGCGAGACAGGAGAGGTCTACTGCACCATGTGGGTTGTTCCCTGGCCGGCCAGGGATCAAACTTGTGCTGCAGAGGCTGCGGATTGCTTCATAGTGCAGTGCTTAACCCCCTGCGCCATCAGGGAGGCCCTAATGAGGGGTTGTTTTTTTTTTTTTAACTTTTTATTGGTGTATCATATACATACAGAAAAATGTATGTGGCTGATGAACTTTTAACCAAAGCTGATTAGGCTGAGATATTATTTTTGTTACATACACTACCATTGGTATTTGCATAGCCACAGGTTGGTATTGTGTTTTCCTTTGTTTTAACAGTCTCTCATGCTTAGATGTCCACCATTTCAGAGGTCCATTTGCAACTCTGCTATATTTTGGGGTATGATACTCAATTTGCCCCTCCAGCTTCCCAACAGTAAATGTCATATATCTTAATATGTGATATAAACCGTATATTAAACTGTAAACCATAATGGCATTAAATAAAAACCATTATGGCAAAAAACTGCAGATTACCAGTGTTCTTAAATACTGATTACAAGCTTTTTGTAAGCATCTTTCAAAGAAGTTGGCAAGAATGTCAGATAATCACAAAGCCCAGCAGCATTCCAAAAAGAGGTGGCAAAGAACTGTCTGGTGAAATCACAAGAACTCACAGACCATCCCAAAGGAATGTGGGAAAATACCCCTTTCTCTAGTGGTGGCAAAGGGTGAGAAAGAAAGGAGAAAAGACCCAGTGCTCCAGAGCGAACTATTTTATGCAAATTACCCCTAGTAAAGAGCAGAAGGTACTACTGCATCAGAACTGCTTTCTCACGCTTCGAAAATATGATGTGAATGCATCCTTATTTTCCTTGTGCTGGCCATGCTTTTTTTATACCATGTAGAGTTGAAAACCCCCATCTCAGGCCTGGAAGTACTTTTCCTCTTGTACAGTCCTGTCACAGAGCAGGCATGCTGAGATCTGAATTTCCAGTCGGTTCATTTATATGTGAAATGCACACATCAGCCATGGACCCAGGCTGCTTGTCCGCAGATCTTTGCCCATCTGCTTCTCTATTTCTTAGCGCTCAAGTGCTCTGTGATGAATTCCTTCAATTAATTGGCCTTCTTGAAAGTTCCAAGACTGTTTTTCATTTTGAGGGTTAAGGACTATTTGACAGAATTACCCAGAAAGCTTATTATAAATGCACATTCCAGGTCTCACCCCACACTTAATGTAAAATCTCTAGGAATAGAGCCAGAGAAGTATCATTATTATTAAACTCCTGAGATAATTTTATGAATTCCAAAGTTTGAGAAATACTCTAAGATACTGTATGTTGTGCTGTATTTTTTATTTGACCTCCTTAATTTTACTTCACATGTCTACTAAATTTACTTTAAGGTTAACCAAGTCTCATCATTTCTTTCCCAACTCCAAGAGCCCATGGTTCCATTCTTGAAGAATGAAAGCCTTAGCATTGCTTACACTGCTAACAAAAGGATCTTTTGAGTTTCTGGTGCCTTCTCTAAAATCCAGTATCTACTGAACTAAGGCTCGTGTGTAGGTCAGAGGAAGCCTGAGGGCCCCCTTGATCGCAAAGGCCATTCTGGAAAACACAGCATTGAAGAAGCAAAAACCCCCTTTCTTTTCTTTCTTTTTTTAAGAAAGGCATGAGGAAGCCACTTCCTTCTCTGCAGGATGGGCTTGTAGGAAAGGGCACTGTCCTGGGCAGGTGCTTCTCATTGTTTGGCCAGAGCTATGGGGGGTGGGGGGAGGGGTGTCATTTAAGTGGTCAATTCTACCCGAGGACATGCTATGCGTGTCCTGGGATTTCTCAAGGTATGCTATCTTTCTTGGGCAGTTTTATTGTTTTATAAGAATCTGAACTCGGTATTCCAGAGCATGGAGGCTTAGCACCCATGACTTAACGGGAGCGGTTGATGAGTGTTGACTTTGTCATTTCCCTTGTGGCCGGAAAAGCTCTTCAACTTTGTTTTTCTCATTGTAAAATGGCAATGCTAGTACCTACCCTGCCTATGTCTTTGTGCAGATAAGATGAGACTACATTCAAGCAAGGCAGTAATAATCAGAAGTCAGGCTCTCAAGTATGCAGTTTTTCTGTGGAGCAGCTTCAGAAATCCCATATGCTACTTTCTTCATGGAGGAACACAGTTTTCTTTTTCTTCTCTTTTCTCTACTTTTTCACTGTGGTGGCTAAAATGCTAGGTGAGGTTCTATCTTATCTTCCATTTTCCTGTCCCTGTTTCTCTTCTATGCTGGGTTCTCCAGCCAGGTTCACAGTGTGCTCATGCTCTCTGCTACCTAAAGCTGCTTCTCTTGTTAGCGTGTTTCCTGTGGTCCACACTTTCTGTTCCTCATGACAGTACATGAACCTGTCATTTCAGTGAGGCAGGAAGAGCACCTTCTTATCCCCATCACTCAGATGAGGAGCTGAGACTCTGGGTCTGGACACATCATTTCCTCTGGGACACTGTGTTTGGACTAGAAGCCATGCTGCTTCCTTCCAGCCCAATGGCCTTTCCACAGTGGCATTCCAGCTCAGTTAGCCAAGGCCACTGAGGTACATTCAGTATCATTTGGCCCTCTTGAATGCCTCATGTCTAAAATTCTCTACCCTATTTCATCTATTTCCTTACAGATTTCTATTTTAAATATTTCTGTAGGTGGATTTACATCACCTTCACTTTTAAAATTAGCACCTCTCCTAAAGGTAGAAAAACCTTGTTATTTGATTGCTAATCAGACACTGTCAAACTTTAAACGACTCCTAGATAAATGCAGCAGTACTTTAATGCCACTTCTACATCTGTTAATAATGGACCCTTAAAGACTGTATTACTCTTCTCATAGCTAGAAGGTTCATTTTGCCTTTAACTGTGATATTTAACATTGGTGATTTGGGGAAAATCAGATTCTTTTCTCCTCAGTGTTTTTCTATTGGCCCTTTTCCAACATGTTCTTGAACTTGAAATATTTTATTTTAAAATATTTAGAGCCTTTCAACTTCTGTATAATCTTACTTCTGACATTCCACATGGTGTCTTTCTCCCCTTGCCTTCATTCTTATTCATCCCTTGAAAAACTCCACTGGAACTCATTTTTGTTTGAGATATAATACACTTTGATGGTATAGTTCTTTGATAATCAAATCAGTTATTTAAAAAAACAATAAAACATCATAAAGTGTACAGCCAATATTGCCATATCTTCCTCCAGAACATACCCCCTTTTGTGAATTAATAGCTGAATATGTTCCAAGTTCAGTAGAATCAGGAAATTGTTTTCATTTGTCTTTAATGTTAATCTTTTTCTTCTCTAGGCTGTCCTCACCCACTTCCTGCACCCTCCTCCACATGGTGACCCTGCCCCACAAATACCCCTACACTTGAAGCTTCTCAGGACCTCTGTCAACCACCCTTCCAAGTTGTCAGTTCCAGAATGAGAGGGAGCAGTTATACCAGGCAAACTGCCAGGAAAGCTGCACAGTTTTCTTCATTTTGGGAAATCTCAGTCGGGGAGGAGAGACCAGAGCCTGATTTATCAGCCCCCAAAGAAGTTCCCACCGTCATGAGGTTGTCCTAGGACCCAGAGTTGGGCCCGCCATGGTCCGTTCCAGACTGTCCTGGCCAACTTGAACATCAGTGCCTTCTTCCTTTCCCTCAGTCCCAGAACTTCCAGATCTTAGGTTCTCCCATGTATTTTTACAGTTGTCAGTCTTTTAAAATATTGTGTTACTCCCACCCCCGCTTAATTGATGTTGTAGATACATCACTGGGGTCTCCTACGTTGCTCTCATTTTTCATCATGAAACTTCTGACAAAGACTCTTACTGTTGGAACACATCTACAAGCAGAAGACATTTCTATATGGGTACTATCTTAGTGTATGTATTTTTCCTCCTCATAAATGTAGGAAGCTTGTTGAGAGGCAAATCTGGCTACTTGTAATCCTGAAATTAACAAAAGATGCTTGACTTTTGACATTAGGAATCTGTCATGATAATGGAATGAGAGTAAAGGAAGAAAAAAAGTATAAACATGG